ACAAACAAGAAGTCAGGAGATTAAAAAAGCAGAAAGCCTTCCAAAAATGTCCAGAGAAAAGGAATTAAGCATTTCCACAGCAGATAGCTTAATCCTTCCAAATCTGGAATTTCTGAGACTCCGGAGGAGCTGGGCCTTCCAGGCTCAGCCTTGGTCTCTGTCTCTCAGTTCTGGATGGACTGGGGCAAGAAGGGCTGATTCTTCGGAGAATTCACAGTATATTAGGTGTGCAGGAACACAGGCAGCATGTCCTTCATCGCTACATTTATTAATCAGGAGTTCAGAACAAGAGACACACCAGACTGCCCCACTTCCTCAGAGATCTAGATGATTTCAGATGATTCAACCATCTATTGGGAAGGGAAGTTCTGCCCTCCATTTCTCTGGAGAGTTGTTTTTATCATGACTATTGTTATTTGTTTTGTTTTGTTTGCGCACATGTGTGTCTGTTTAACTAAAAGGGGAGGGTCTCCTGGGATCCAGTTCTCATGCAGCCAACAAGAGGCTGAGAGTTCCTGTCCTCCTCCTGCAACGATTCCACCACATACCTCTATCGACACTCGGGACCTCTGTCGGTGGAGGGACTTTGTAAATGACATCATCAGGCTCAGAGGTCTAGTGCACCAAGAGCACCATCTGAAGTCCCTTTCCCCACAGATGCCACAGCAGAGGTAGCCTGGGCGCCCCAGTCCTGGAGGGCGCCAGAGCCCCCGTTCAAGTGGGTGAAGGGCTGTCTGTGGAGCACTGGCTGTGTCTCCTTGCCAGCTGTTGGTTCCTGGCCCTTTCCCAACTTCCCCCTCAGCATGAGAGAAACTGCAGCGCAGTAAGTGTGATAATGAGGAACGGGCAGAGAGGGAGCAAATTAAACGCAGGATCTTGAGACTCTTCTCAGCACCCAGCCTTTCATGAGAAACGCTCCAGGGAAGTGAACTGGACTGACGGCACGTTGGCAACCTTTACAGCCCAGCCCAGGCTATGGAGGGGTCTAAAGAGCGGTGGAGTGGTCAGAGGTAGAGTGGGAGGGAGGAAGATGGAGAAGATACCATGATCCTAGGGAATTTACCAGTTAGACAATAACCCTCACCCAAATCCTGAAGACTAATCCTATAAATTATTGACAGCGGGAGAGAGAGAGAGAATAACTCACTCTTATCTTTGAGCCATTTCTAAAACCTCCACATCTTTCTCACACAGCACTTAGCTGACTCCATGCCTGTCCTTCCTTCTAGAACTATCATGTCGTTGAGAGCAGGGGCTCTATCTTACTCATCACTTGCATCCACTGTGTTAGGACCATCCCAGCATACAACATATGACATCCTAACATATAACAAGCACTCCTGAACAGAGAGTGTCTGAAAGGCCTAAACCCCACTTGCTTTCCCTGGAGAGAATGTCCCCTACACTTTCCAGCTGGCTATGCTGGCCTCAATCTCAAACTGACCCCAGATGCTTCCCCTCTGATGCCTTCAGCCTGCCTTCTCCTTTACTAAAGTTGCGCCCCTAAACAGAGAGGGTGCACGCTGACCTCCAAACAGCGGAAGTTAGTGACTGTGCTACAAACAGCCCTGGAGCTATTGCAGTGCGCGGCTGGCTGGCCGGCCCAACCACATGAGAATTAGATCCAGGAGCCTAAAAGCTTTGTAAAGATGCTCAAAAGACAACACGGCTGTACCATCTAGCGCAGAATGCACAATTTAAGCACACACTAAGTGGTTTGAGAGTTGTGAACACGTTTTGTGGCATCAACTTGCAGCTCATGCAATGAAGTCTGAGTTGGGCCTTCATTTTTGTATTCTACGGTTAAAATTCTGCTGACTCGCTCAGTGAGGGAGTGAATCCCATTTCTCTGAAGATTACAGAGCATGAAATTGCCATGGTGAAAAGGATGGCACAATCTTACCACATTCAAAACTAATTGATATTTGAACATCAAGAAAATTTCCTCTCACCACATTCTAGCCCTCAGAACTGGCAGGAAAATGGAAGGTCGGTTCCAAGAAGTGATTAGTGCTGCCTGCTTTATCTCACACACCAGCAACAGACACAGCAGGTAACAAGGTCATCTCTGGTCAGATTCCTGCGGGTCCCCTTGCTCTTCTGGCTCCCTGAAATTCTGTCTCTCAAACACCACAGCAGAGGGGTCCCACACGAATATGAAACTCAAACTTTCAAACAGGGGAAGAATTTCTCTTCTCTACTACGGCTTAAAACAGTCTGAGGGGAAGCAAGGTTCCAAGGTTCTTGGAGCCTCTGCATGAATCCCGACTTTGCAAGATTCAAGGGAGAGGTAGATTGCACTCACTAAGAAGCAAACCCAGTGCCTGAAGGAGGAAAAGTGACAGCGCCTGCGCCGAGGACAGAGAGAACTATCTACGTGATCCCCACCACCACGTCCCAGTGCACCCCAAAGACTGTGACCCAAAGCCACAGCATCTGCAGCCACAGGAAAGTTTACTTTCTACTCACTCAGGAGGGAGTGAGAAGGGCAGTTCCGTCAAAAGCACTACTGAGACACCATTACCCACCCACCAGAGTAACTAAAGTAAGCCGACAACGCCCCATGTTGGTGAAGACGTGGAGCAACCGGAACTCTCACACGTTGCTGGGAGGGAGGGTAAACGGTACAAACACTTCAGAAAACTGGCACTTTCTTTAAAAGTTAAACATACATCTACTCTAAGACCCAGAAATTCCGAGATATTTATTCAAGAGACAAGAAAACAGAAGTCCACAAAAAGTCTTGTATAAGAATGTTCACAGAGCTTTATTCACTGGGAATAGGCCAGGTGGGCGTCAACAGGTGACTGGATCAACAAAAGGTGGCATGTTCACACGATGGCACACTACTGAACAATAAAAGGGAACAAACTAGTGATACACACAACAACCTGGATGAACCTCTAAACATGCTGAACGAAAGAATCAGACACAACAGGACACTCCCTGTGTGATTCCATCTCCATGAGGCTCTAGAACAGACAGAACTTATCTATGGTGACAGAAATCAGGGCAGCAGTGACTTTTGGTGGTGGGTGAGAAGGGAGTGACTATGAAGGGAGGTGAGGAAACTTTCTGTAGTGACAGAAATGTCCTATATTTTGATAGGGCTGTGAGTTATATGGGTGTGTACATTTGTCAAAATTGATCAAGCTGTGCATTTAAGATATGTGCATTTCATATATGTAAATTATATCTCAATTTCAAAACATTTTAAAAGTACTACCAAATCATTAAGATACAAGTAAGAAAAGAAGAGGTGAGAAGAAACCAGAAAGAATAAAACCCTCTTGGAAAATATCAGAAATGATTAACAGATCCTTCGAAAAAGACTGCACCCATGGGTCCTGACTCACACTGTGTCTTAACCGGTGTGGGTGTAGGGAGTCCCGAAGATGCTCTCCCAGACCCACACTCAGGCCCTGCAGTGGACATCTAGTTGGAAAGTGTAAAAGCAAGCAGGAAAGAATAAAGTGTTGTTGTCTCTTTAAAATGGGCTAGACCACCCACGGGTCCAATGAGAAAGCCAACAAACTGGCAGAAGTTGAAGCCACTCAACCAGAGCAGTCCTTGAACACTTCTGGAGGAGAGCGATTTACCTCAGTAGTTTTATTTGCTTAAACTTTGTAATTGACTGTATATTACCACGAGAAAACATCACCAGGGCCCATCAAAGGGTTTAGGGCAACTGAACTGGGTTTATAAAGCTGAGAAAAACTGATTCTAGATTTTGAGCTTCTATCACCATTCATATCTAATTCCTACCTCAATATCTGTCTGCCGTAGTTATCCACTCTAAGAAACAAATACAAATGTTTTACTATACCTGAGTGCTTTTTGAAGCAATGGGCCGCTGCTTACAGCTGCACAGGTTGTGTACTGCACAAGTTCAGAGGGCAGGGCACGTTTAGATAGACCACAACTGTATGTGGCAGTCCTGAGATTTCTAAAAGTTACAGCTGATCAAACCCAGATAGCCTCTTTTCGTTTGGATTCACCAGCAGCTTCCCTACTCTAGTCAAGACTGTTTTGCTACTCAACAGTCCTTGAGTCCAAGCAGGCACTCAAGGACCACCCCACGTCTACCAGGTTTCAACTCAACAGCACTCCACTGACAGGAGACAATGGAGAAGCAGACACACACGTCTCCTTTAAGGCGCCTTGACACAACATTTGTAAAAGTTCTAAGAAAGCAACAGACATGATGGTGGTGACCAGACACAGAGAACCTTTATACAAGAGTGCCTTTACGTTACTTAGTACACAGAGAAGCCAGTGTGGTTTCACAGTGTTTCCCTGAGATGCTCATGGGTTAGATACCGACCTTGGTGCTGGTATAGATGGAAATCCCCAGGTTCTTCTGGAAAGCTGCCCCTAGTTTGTACATAACCCCACATCTGCCTTCGCCAGGGTCTTTACTGTAGCCTGCTATGATGGCTACTGAGGCCCGCAGGACTCCTGACCCTACGGCTTTGGGGCATCCCTTCACCGAGGAGCCTCAGCTACCTACAGCAAGGGAGGCCAAGGCCGCCTCTGCTATTGATAGCAGAGTCACAGCCAGTGACATCAGTCACAGCCAGAGTCACCAGCCCAGCAAAATCCTTCTCAGAAGCCCAGCTCTCCATCCCTGGCCTCTTCAAAGACACCACCTCAGCCACCCAAAAACTGAAACAAACCGCCGCAGCAGCCAGGAGTCCTCCCGGGGGACTGCACCCCGTCTCGCACCCCGTCTCTCTCTGACGACTCCCACAGGCTGCCCAGCCCCCTGAGTCGGAGCCTGCAGGAGAAGGAAGGGGAGTGAGCACTGACGTCCTTCTGTTTTAACTTAAGATACAACTTGAAGGAAGGTTAATCCTTGCAAATATCCTTTTCTGGCACAGCTGAGCTTCAAAGAGGTTCTCAAATAAAAGAGATGTCCTTTTTTGTCCTCTATACATTTTTTATTGAGATATCATTCACATACTATAAAATTCACCCTTTTAAAGTGTACAATTCAGTGGTTTTTTTCAGTATTTTCACAGAGTTGTACAACCACTACCTAATTCCAGAACATTTCCATCACCTCAGAAAGAAGCTAAAGCCCATTTTAAATTACTCTCCTGCCCAAACCGTTCTACAGCGTCAGGCTGCTGACCACTTTGTGTTCCCAGAGGGTAACGAAGTGCCAAGGCCTCCTTGTACTGACCTAAAAGTTTAGCAATAACTCATGGGGAAATGTGGGAATGTTGCCCCAAAGGTATCAACTATTGCCAGCAGTCACCATGCTCGGAAACTGGTGGACAAGACGCCCTCCCAACCAAGGGAAGCTCCAGAAGGAAGTTCAGGAACATCACACAGAGGCACTCACTCACTCGGGAGACTTCAAAAGAAAGTGTGAGATCACTGAAAAGGAAGCATTGAAAAAGAAAAACTAAGCTCCAGTCTCCCTCTGCTATCACCTCCTCTGCTCATCTCGGTCACATCACTCCACTCCTCTGGGCGTCAATCTCCTCATTAGTAAAATTGGGCGGCACCTTGAATAATCACTAAGATCCCCTCCAGCTCTGATAATCATCCATGCAACAAACGAACAAGTGTAACCTGGGAGCTGAAAGGCAGAGTGGCTGCTTTAGGTGAAAATTATTCACCCAAATCCACTAGAAATCACTCAGGAGTAAATGAACATGTAAACCAAGCAGAACCAGTGAATGCAACTTTCCAAAGGCCTTTGACCAAAACACATCGCAAGGGGGCCGACGCCTAGTAGGCTCTTAAATCTCCTCCGGGTGCAACCTCCTGGCTCCGTGAAGGCTTGGTGTGCGGCATGACTCAAAGGCAGACAACCAGCAGCACCGGGAAGCAGAGATTGTTTAGGTTAACACCATGGTTTCATATGATTTATTATTTTATAAAGGATAAGCTTTCAACAAGTGCAAGGGAAGAGGTCACTCAACAGCAAACCTCATAGTTGTGAGATAACACCAGGCTGTGGGCGTTGGCAGAATAGAGCAGATGTGCTCCCATGTGGGCAAGAGTAGAATAAGGCACTGACACAAAGGTAATTCAAATTATCCTTATGAGACACGGGTTTCGATACGTCATACACCGTCTAGAAACATGCGAGTCACTATCGACAGTTCCCTGAGGATATTAGTTCAAAGAGTCTGAAGCAGCTAAAAACACCAGCAGAAAGCTGACATTGTTTTGGGCACAGTTTGAGAGCTAGAAGGAGCTTTAAAAGCAGTTCAGTCCACCTTTCTCATTTTACAATAAGAAAACGGAGACTCTGAGAGCTTGGGAAATGCCTTATGCACAGCAAATGGCCAATAAAAATTAGTTTAAGGAGATGGCCAATAAAATGTGTATTTTCAGCCATATCACACACAGATATTATTGCTTTATCTTTGGCACCAACTTCAAAACCTTTCAAAGTTAAAAACCACAACAGAATAGGCAATTCCTGAATCTGAAAAATAACTATAGAATAATTGAGGCAGCAACAGGGTGAAGAAGTTTTAAAACTTGACTGCTTTAATCTGGAATTGTGAAAATTGGATGATAACATATGATAAAAATTTATAAAAGGATGTCAGTTAGACATAGGGTGAATTTGAACATTTTCATGAAATCTTTTGCACTAGAATTGAGGACAAATTCTGGATACTTGAAGAAGGAATTTTAAAAGAGGACAAAGCAAGTACTAGTCTACTCGGCAGATAATAAACCTGTCTGTACATCTGAGACAGCACCAGATGAAAACATAGATAATAAAATTCAAGAAGGAATAAAAATAAATTCATGGCCAAAAACCCATAATGGGTTATTACGAACAGTTTCGACTATGTGGGCCATTCCTAACCTCTCAGGTTGACATCCTGAAGGCAGCCACACTCTCTTACAAAATGTCCCTCAGACACACAACCAGGGTCAGAGCACTGGCTTGAGGGGGCATTGTAAAACAGACAGATACACAGACGATGTTTACCTGTCAGCAATAACTCATGGGGAAATGTGGGAATGTTGCCCCAAAGGTATCAACTATTGCCAGCAGTCACCATGCTCGGAAACTGGTGGACAAGACGCCCTCCCAACCAAGGGAAGCTCCAGAAGGAAGTTCAGGAACATCACACAGAGGCACTCACTCACTCGGGAGACTTCAAAAGAAGATGTTTACCTGTGGGATGAGACGCAAACGCCAGGAGCACCACACTGCAAAAGAAAGAGCAGAGCAGTGAGGAAGCTTCCCAGCCCTGAGAAAACACCGACATTTCCACCCCTTCTGCCGGGAAATGGTGATATCTGCCTAAAAGCAAACTGTCTGCACTGACTGGTCTCTTTGTACCTAAACCCCGTGAGCGGGGGAGAATCTCCAGAAACGCCACAGGTTTCCGTGAGAGGGCTGACTCCACCCCGGGACAGCCCACTCTGAGGTTCAGCCACGCCACGAATTATGAACATACTCATCTCATCTACAAAAAGTATTTGTAAGCTAAACAAAGCAAACTCTAAATTACAAATAGGCTGCAATCTAAAAGCTGGCTGTTGAGCAAAAGCCCAATCTACTTTTGCCAAAAAATAACTGTGCAGAAGGTAGTTAAAGTTCCAAGAAGCTAGCCCACAAAATGATCCATCCCATGGACCATGCGCCTGAAAACTGCCTGGACTCATTTGCAATTGATGCTGCAAAGGATGGAAAGGAGAAGAGTTCCCCTGATGTGGGTCATGTTCGTCCTTGGCACCCTGCCATCCTCCTCTCTGGAAGCCTGCCCCGTCTCCCAGTGCCCGTCTACAGGGCCTTCACGCTGCCCTAACACACCCCTGCACCCTGTCCCCTCCCAACTCCACGCCATCCGGGCAGCTGATCCAGGCAGAGGTTAGGAATCAAACCTTGAACCCAAGTATACGAAGGACCTTTTGTAAGTGCTGGAGTGCTGGATGGCCTACTCTGGTTCTTAACCCTGGCTCCCCAACAGAATAGCAGAACATCCGGGCTTAAGTTAGAATCTCGGAGGGTGTGGTCCAGGCCTCAGGTGTTTGACTTGGTTATGGCCCCCTGGTGGCTCTAACGTGCACTAGGAGTGAGAACCCCTGCAACGAATCTCTAGTTGGTGCCACTACAGGCAGTACAGAAGAAGAGAGTTTTGAACAGGGGAACCAGTGTTAGCTCATCAGCCCTGCCCTGCCCTGTTCCTGGGTTATCTCCTGGCGCCATTTCTGTTTTCCTCGGGCTCCTCCTTTGTCCCACCTCTAAAACACAGGTTCTCTGATGGCTCCCAGAGCAGCAACATCACAGAAGAGGCAGGAGGAGCGGAGGGTCGGGGGAAACGGAGTGCAGAACAGCCACATGTCTGGTCATTCAGAAGTTGTAGGTTTGTAAGACAGAGTTGATACGTAGCTGTAATGCACACACTACAAACGACAGCGGGGCTTTCTGTCCTTTACACGGGCTGTCTACTTGCCATCTCTTCTTTCTTTGGAAAACGCACACCTGTACACACTCCATTACGTTATCTCCGTGGATCCCCTTTTGGTTACAACTTCAGCAGTAGAAGTTACTGCTCTTATGGCAGAATATGAGGGGCCCTTTTCCATCTCAACTATCTCCCAGGGCCTGCCATGGTATCCCAAATGCCATCATCAGAATCATCCCAAAGGGTGACTCTAAAAGAAAATATTAGGGAGTAAAAATAAGAAAAAATTATGAAATAAAAGAGTTGGTTCTCTAAGCCCTGTCTGAATTTTGCAAATACAGTGTTAGACCAGTCTTAATTCCCTCACTGTGATCTCCGTGGAGGCAGGAACCATATTTTATTCATTTTTAGATTCCAAGTACTTAGAGCAGGTGCTCCACGTTTTCTGAATTGCAATTAATAACCTCTAGGTGTCTTTATGGTGGGATTATATTTAAAGAGAAATATAATTTGAAGCCCTCTATAGCTCTAAGATTATAAATTACATGTAAACTCTAACCAAGAAATTTTATTACTATAAAAGGCATATCATTGGGGGCTGGCCCCATGGCATAGTGGCTAAGTTCAGCACACTCTGCTTCAGCAGCCTGAGTTCGCAGGTTTGGATCCCAGGTGCAGACCTACACCGCTCATCAGCCCTGCTGTGATGGCAACCCACATATAAAGTGGAGGAAGACTGGCACAGATCTGAGCTCAGGGCTAATCTTCCTCAGGAAAAAAAAAAGGCATATCATGCCAAGTAAACAGCAGACTTTTTAAATTCATTCACACAACAAATATTTATTGAGTGCTTAGTAAGTGCCAGGTACTGTCTAATATGGGAACAGAGCAGCAAACAAAACAGAAAACATTCCTATGCTCATGGGAAATAAAATGGGGAAAAGAGGAAAATGTAATCCCCACAGGCTACACTCCACTACATTTTTTTCTGTTTCACAAAGTCACACCCCAGAGAGAATGCCCATCTAGTTCCCTTTGACATACACACACACACACACACACGACTTCATCTGTAAAATCAGGAGGTGGAGGATGAACAGGGAACATCATGGTAATTTTCTATCGAATAGATAAGGTGAGACCGTGTCTGCTCACATTAAAGAGAAATGATGATAAGGGTACGGCCCATAATATCCATTCCTTAAAAATTGCCTAAATTTCTGAAAATGCAGATCAAAGCTATACCAGTTTTAGACCCTCCATCAATTGTTGGCCCCATACACAACTCCCTCCTTCATTCCTTCCTTCATCCCTTCCCCTCTACCCTGGGCCTCAGACCTCTATCTACACGTGAAACACCAAAAAGTCAGGCTCAGGGAGGAAATAGATCCTCATGAAAATAGGAGTATGGGCCAAAGTAGAGAACCATCCAAGTACTTGGCTCTCTCAAAACATGGAGAGATGAAGCCAGTTCTTGGCCCTGGCAGGCAGAGCGGGGCTGGCACAGACAGGCACAGCTGCCCACAGGTCCAGGTGACCTCAGCCCTCTGGATGCTGGCCCCCAGCACCCAGTGCCCAGCGCCCAGAGAAATGGAACAGCGCCCTCGCTCGGATTCTGCTGCATCGCTTGTACAGACGGAAGACTTGGAAACAGAATGGTGGCTGTAGCGGGGTGCACGCGGGCTCAGCCAGGAAGCCTGGAGCGCCGGCCCCCCGGCAGTGAACCCCTCACCAGGGTGAAGGAGCCAGGGGGGGCACAGTGGGTGAGGGTGGGAGAACTAGAGGGGGGGGCGGGTCACAGAAGTGCATGTTTCCATCTCCTTACTCTGCTGCTCGACTCAGCTATGAGTCCTGTGGAGAGAAAGAACCGCCTAAAGCGGCCTAACATCGTGGCAACATTTTAAATACCAAGGGCCTTCTGCTTCTTCAGGAATCTCTTGAAAGGCAGCTGGTGGGTCTGGGCAGAGTGGAACAAGTGATTGTTTTCAGCTGAGTACAAAAGAGGCCACAGCCACACTTGGGGTGAGTCCTGCTTTCAAAAAGGCATCTCAATAAACACTAAAGTATTTATGAGCTGTATCTGCACATGGAGAATACAGCTCATGCTGAATGCTTTAGGCCGAGTAACCTCCTCCAGGAATCGGTGTGACCACACGCTGACAGGCCCGGCTCAGACCGCGCTGCTCGGCACTGACTGTGGTTGCTTAGGCAGACTTGGGTTCCCAATGGCACATCTCACTCTGTCTCTCCAGCAGGCCCGCAGGGCACAGTCTGAGACTACCAAAATCCAAGAACTCTCCCCAGCTATTCTATTTAGTGGGCCGACCCCCATTCTTTGTGTGGCTTGGGGTGAGGGTACAAATGGAAGTCCATATACCACATTTAAGTGTCATAAATCAAGCCTCAAATGTCATCCTACCTTAACAAACATACCTTCAAAACAACCTGGAAGTCCAGATTAAAACTTGGAATTCTGGGAGTCCTTGGAGCTTCATGTCAGAATGTGGCAGCACAGGGGGATCCAGCCTCTGGCTCCCGGCTCCCAATGCGCCCCCTTCTCCTTCCACCCCAGGCTCCATCCTGCACCCCAAAGACCTCATACACATGTGTGTGGACACCTCAGCCTGCATCCACCCTCCATCCATGTCCCCCCAACTAACAGCCTTTCTTCGGATACTACTTGGGTCCAGGAATGAGTTAGGCAGACAGACCCAGGGAGCCTCAGAACCCAGCTTGAGACCACTTGAGTTGGAAATTCCAGGGCCCAGTCTAGAAGCGGGGGTGAGGGCTCTGGCAAGAAATGTCCCCTTAGCCTTACAGACTCCATATCCCACGGGGAGAGGCACGGCCTTCTGAAGTGTGAGGCCGCACAGAGGCCCCTCTCGCCTGGCCTAAGGGCAGGACAATTATTTGGTTTCCTGAGTTCAGATCATTTCACAGATTATTTGGCTTGCCTTCCTGGCAGGCACATTGGCTCAAAACTGCCTAATCAAAATATTATTGGAAAATAAAAATCCATTAGCTCTAGAAGGATACAAATTAGTCTTTGAAAATGTAAATTATATCTTACCTGAATATATAGTTTAAGTACTGCTGGTCAATGTCACTAAGGAACGAGGAAAAAAAACATGAAATAATAGAAGTGTTTTACACACAAAAAGTCATCTTCTATTAATAAATTACATGTATATATAAGTTACGACATTTACAAATTATCAATAAATAGTATGAAGAGTACTTTACACTTAAAACCAGATCCTGGTCCATTTGTGAAAGCCTTTCCTAGTTTAGTTCTCGCACACATTTTCACTGGCGGCTGATCGTTTTCTATGTGTACGTTTGCCACTTTAAAAGCAGTGTCATCTCCCTCAGGCCACTGGACTGGCTTCTAGGGCTCCCACATTTGACAAATAAAAATACAGGACCCCAAACAAAGCTGAATGTCAGATACAGGACAATGTTTCAGCGTAAGTATGTGCCAAATAGTGTATGGGACACACACTGAAAACATTATTCGCTGCTTATCTGAAATTCAAATTTAACTGGGCATCCTGCATTTTCTCTAACTCTATTGGCTTCTGGCTGCAAAAACTCTTTATTAGAAGAACAAAAGGTGCTCTAGGGACCCAAAGTCACATGTGCTCAAAGTGTATAACCTTCTCCCAGGAGTCAGGCCCTCAGACCTCTCCTCCACAGGCCGTCAGGCAGCCCCAGACCCAGAGGCCAGCTGGCCAGTGGAGGGCTCTGACCGGGCAGCTCCAGGCCCACCAAGGCCTGAATTCTCATCTTGTTCATTTACATTCGCCAATTCCGCTCCACTGACTGTGCACAACAAAGGCCTCACTCTACCCCAGAACAGAGCTAGTGACTCAGGAGACCTCTAGGTCTAAAGTGAGTCAAGTTGGAAGGGGCTGGAGAAACCAGGAAAAAGAGTTTTGCCTCTGAGCTGGAGGAAGTAAACCGGGGCCCAAAGCAGCTGGTCACATCACTTTTGTCAAAATGTCACCTAAGTGGCTGCCCTGAAGGAAGAGGAGAGAGATTTCCATGCTCTTCACAGGTTACCGATGGCCAGCACGCTTCAGGTGCTGGTGGACCGGGCCTGGAACAGCCCAACAACAGAAGAAAAGGTGGGGCTCACCGCCACCTAGACCTGGAGAGGCTCTGGCTGAATGGCAGCAGCGCCCTACATGGTGGGTCTCACCCTTTCCTTTAAGCAAAGGACAACCCACCAAACTAAGTTTACCTTAACGCGTTGGGTCTCTGGGACTTCTGTAGTATTTTATAAGCCCCTGAAAATGAAGCAACACAAGTCACTGGCACACAGCACGCCGTGAGAGGGACTCCAGCATGTCCAGAGAAACACAAAACCCACATGGAGAAGGGCCTCTTCCCTGCGAGGGTCCCCACAGCCAGGAGGGGGACAACAACACTTGGGGGATTTCAAGGACGCGAACTGGATAATCCCCCATGATGGTGCAGGTCAGTAGAGGGTGCAGGCCAGGAAGGCTCATGACCAACAGAAGGGTACGATGAACAGGAAGCTTTGGCCTCCTTTGCGTGGTGTGCACAAGAAAGAGAACCACCACTGGACTTGGCGCTGTGTGTACCACTCAGGGCGCTGGTTTTTTCCCCACGAGACTACACATAAGGAACACTGAACATATGATTTGAAATAAAGTCAGATGGTCCTTTTATTTCACCCACTACTTTTTTTTTTTTTTTTGGTATTCTGTTGAAAGAGAGTGTTTTTCACACACACTTCTGGATCTCTTCCCACCATTTTGAGAGAGGACCAACCAGCATTCCACAAGTGGACTTGAGCAAGCAGAGCCTGAGCCGTGCACACTAACTAATGTTTGTCACAAGAGAGAGGAGACAATATGGGAACTGGAGACATTTGAGGAAAACTCCAAAACAGGAAAATCAAACCAGAAAATGCCCATTTAATTTTAAGCTTGCCACCTTGTATTTAATCCTCCTATTGTCCAGGGTCACTAAAAATTAGATATACAGTAAGGTCTAAATAATAAGCCTCAACTGTTTAAGTAAGCATTCTTTTAAAACTTACCTACACAGAATAAGTGAATTACAGCCCAGAAATATCCATCTGGATCAAACTGTAACATAGGATTAAAAAAAAAATGGCTGTAAGTACAAACAGGATGCAGTGTGGTCCTCAGAAACCCTAAACATCAATGCACAGTGCAAAACGAGGGCACCAAGCCAGGACTCTTGGGGCCCTGGGCCAGGCCTGCTCACTGTTCACCCCGTTGCCTAGGACACCCTCCTAACAGGGCCGTCAGCCTCCAGCGCCCCCTTCCCCATCCTGCACACCGCCCCACATGGCATCTCTAAAAGGCAAACTGGATGGTGTCACCTTCGGCTTGAAACCATTCCGCAGCCCCCCAGTGACTTCAGGATAGAATCCAAACTCATGACACCCAAGGATCTCTGACAGGCCCCTGTCAACTCGTCCAGTCCCATCGACTGCCCTCCTCTCCAGAGAAAGAGAACTTGCACTTCTGAGCACAAATGCCTCCCCCCCCAACTCAGCCAAGGGGCCCCCCTCCTCTTCTTCCCGTCCCTATTTGTGTCCATGGTTTGTCTCATCCGACACACTCTATTTTACTTATTATCTGTCTCTATGTCCACCTCCCACCAGACGGTCAGTTCTAGGAGGGCAGGAATTAGCACGGGGCATACATAGAGGGTGCTCAATAAACTTGCGTCTCCTTGGCTTAATTATTTTTAAGAACAAAAGACTCAGGAAGAACCTCTGACCTTCCCCCTAACTGCTTAAAGGAATTTAAGATAGAAGGCCTGTTCCAGGAAGGAGCTAATACCATAAGATAACTGTAGTATAATAGAAAATAGCTGAGACAGACAGGGAGGGGCCTGCCAAGGGCCATTTAATCAAAGTCCTCTCCTCCAATATTTGTTATCAAACATTTGCTTTTCCATCTCCACGTAAACTGCCTTCTCCCCTTTAAAGATCCCACCCCCACCCCCCAAACATCCTCCTTTGTCTTTAACTGAAGATGGTATTTAAGGTGGTGGCTTTGGCCATTCTGGTGAGTTACTCAGCTTTCCTGGTTGTCTCCCATGTGTACACGTTACTAAACTTTGTTTGATTTTCTCCTGTTAGTCTGTCTCACGTCGATTTAACTCTTAGGCCAGCCCACAGGACCTAGAGGGTAGAGGAATAGTTCTTCCCCCTAGAGCCAAATCACAGAATACTCAGGACACCTGCTTTCTCCTGGCTCACTCCTCACCCTTCAAGATTCAGGTACAGTAAACAGAATCTGGCTATAGCATCAGAAAGATCTGGGTTAAATTCTAAAATCTCTTATTCATTAGCAGGTGACCATTTGGGCCCCATTATTCTTTAGCTAGGAAATGGAGATAATAATAATCCCTGCCCTTACAGAATTATTGTGAGATTTTAAATAAAATGTGACACACGAAGCATTGGCGTGGAGCCTGGCACACTGAGGGCTCCCCTAATTGTTGCTGTTCCTCCTTCCTGAGTCTCCAGATCTTCTAGGTGCCTCACAGCCCCACATCCCTCCCAGGACAGAGCCGCGCCTCCCTGTGTTATAATCATCTGTTTATCGTCTGCTCTCCTCCTTCTGCTCTGACTAGAATCCGACTTCTGCCCGGACGAGGGCGATTCCCCTTTGCGGCCCCAGAGCCTGGCTCAGCGCCTGATACTTGATGGGGATTTAATAAATGCCAGGGAGGAAAAGAAAGAGAAGAGACCCAGCACTGAGATGACTGCTGCAGGTGGGTGCGGGTCTTCAGTGCCTCACAAAGAGAAACTCAGGATTACAAAGTGAAAATCACTCTGCAGAGGAGGCTCTTGAGGTGAGAGGAAAGGATCACCTTGGCCTCAACGCAGGAGGCTGGGGCCACTTGGGCGCCGGCTTACAGGTTCTCCAAGCACGTACAGAGGGCAGACTACACCTGCCACAGCAGCCAGCGGCCCGCGCTCTGCACAGTGCCGCAGCCCTGGGGAGCAGGCAGAGGCCTGGGAAAAGGTGTTGGCCTGGCCACAAGGTGCCCAGCCTGAAACTTCAAACGCCTTTGCATAGACCAGGGTTATCCTGTTTCTAAAGGAAGGACTAGGAAATTCTGCTCATAGCTACACAGGCTTCAGGGAGGAAAAGACACTCGGAAGGCAAACTTGAGTTTATCTGAACTTACCTGGGAGTCGTTGAAGGGGAGGCATCCTGCTGCGGCCAGGAGGAACAGGGCACTGCAGAGAGGGAGACAAAACACACAGCTGCACTTCTCAACATCAAAGCGTTTCCCAGAGTGCGGAGGATGAAATGCATCGACGGGAGCTTGGACGAGGCACAGACCCTGCGAGACCAAGCCCAGTCCCCTGTTCGTCCCGAGAATCCCACTGTCCATGTCATTTTCAGTCATGTGCTCTACTGACAACCAAACGGTTCCTTCTCTAGTGCTCAGGTAGCCATTTTCCCAGAGACATGCGTTTGCAGGACATTTGCAAAACCAGGGCTGGCTCACTTGAGAAAAACAGAGTGCCTGAGAAATGCATAATAAAAGGAGATTTTTTTAAAGTACAGATCCCAAAAAATACACTAGTGGAAAACTGGGTAATCAGAACTACAATTATGCTGCTTACTAGAAAGAAAATACCATGGAAAGCATATTAAAATCTTTTGTACACCACCCTAACCAAACGATCAGATTTCGCATCTCTAGTGATGAGACAGAAAGACATCATGTGCCTCCTGATACGACGCACTGAGAAGGGCACAGTGTCACTCGTGTGGTGTTCCTGCCAACATGCATAACTGAACTGAATCACTAGGAAACATTGAGAAAAACCAAATTTAGGGACAAATCTGTTAGTCCACAAAACATCGGGTTTACACTATCAAAAAATGTGAAGGCAAGGAAAGACAATGAAAGGCTGAGAAAGATAAAGGATACGCAAGAGACATGACATCTTTGGGGGATGAGGTTACTATAAAAGACAATATCGGGATAATTGTTCAAATCTGAACACAGACTCAATATTAGATAACAGTATTATATCAGACATTAATTTTCTAAATGTAATAATTGCACTGCAGTTATACAAGACATTGTTACTTTTAGCAGACACACTTCAAAGTAGTTAGGGGCAGCGTCATAATCTCTGCAACCTATTCTCAAATGGCTCAGAAAAAAATAAGAGTAAGAATAATCATATATATCTTCTCATATATTTTATGTGATATATATGTGTGTATATATATATGAAGAGAGAGAGAAAGCAAATGCAAAAAATGTTATCAACAGGTGAACCTAGGTGAAAGGTATATGGCAGTTCCTTGTAATATTCTTGCAACTTTTCTGTAGGTTTCAACTTTTTTCCCAAAGTTTTATTATAAAAATTTCTTATACATAGTGAAATATTTGCAGATGGACTGCTATGGCGCCTGGGATTTGCTGAAGCAAGGGATGAGGTGGAGCCATAAGTTGACAATGCTGAAGCCAGGTGATGGGTATATGGGCTTCAATATACTGTTCTGTCTACTTTTATATATGTTTAGAAATGTCCATAATAAACCTTTTTTTAAAATTCTTGAACAGAACAGTAACACTGCCAATCATAGATATTTTCACATTTTCTCATTCATCAGAAAGTTGATTTGGAACTATCTTTGGTTCAGTAATCTGTGGTTTTCAGCATATCTCTTGTGGGTTTCATATACCAAAAGATCCTGCCTTTAGCTTTCTCCACTCATTCTCTTCTCCTAAAAGAAGGCACCAGAAAAAACAAAACCCAAACTATCACATACTCTTTCCCCCTTTCCATTTTATAATGCAACAGCATATATGGTTTGGGCCTCTCCACTACCGGCCATTCCACTAGCTGGCAAACAGCAAAGGGTCAAAAGCATGAAGGGAAGCAGTGAATTTAGCATTTTCACTTTTAGAAGACTGTCATAGGACGTCTCATACCAATATATATTCGATATACATAGAGAATTCCATGTTATTCACATATATGTGTAATACACAACAAACTGATATTTATAGCCCAAGTACACTGACGACAGTGATGATAATTAATTCTGCGCACAACCTCATCCCCTGGACAGTCCTCACTGTTGTCATACATGTAGCTGTGTACCCAAGAGATGAGTGTGCGGCTAGGCCCGGGGCAGGAGGACTGGTTCGGAGGAATCGTTGGAGCTGGGGCCTCACGGCCTTGGGAAGAGCAGGATGCCACACAACATCCTGAGCACAGGAAGGTTCTCCACTCCAGCCCTACCCTGTAGCCACACCCAATTTCAAGGCACACACACAACCGGCCGAGAAAACTCCAAGGCACCAGACTACCGAGGGACTACAGGCAAAGAGGAGGGTGAGTGGAGGGAGGTGTCAGGAAGGGCTTCTGGGACTGGACAAGAATAGGCAGTTTTTTGGTGGGAGGAGAGAACCCTAACGGGCTTGGTGTCTACCTACAGTGGAAGGCTTTATAGGATATAGGACGCTTCCCCAGCCCCAGGCAATGAGCTTTAGCAATTCCCCCAAAACAGACAACAGAGATGGAGGACAGCCGGGTGTGAGACGGCCCTGGATGCCCACCAAACGTGGCCTTGAGTAATACCTGATTCTATCAGGGATTAGTGGGTTTTAATGCGTCTCTTTAACACCTGCTAATCTTTAAAGAAGAGGATGAGTCCTGACAGTGGGGCTCTTTTGTTTTGTTTTTGCAAGTAGCAGCTTGTAATAAAGGCAAAAAGAGGAGAACTACAGGCCGATATCACTGATGAACATAGATGCAAAAATCCTCAACAAAATTTTGGCAAACCGAATACAGCAACACATCAAAAAGATTATACACCATGATCAAGTGGGATTTATACCAGGGATACAGGGATGGTTCAACATCCGCAAGTCAATCAACGTGATACACTACATCAAGAAAATGAAAAACAAAAACCACATGATAATCTCAATAGATGCAGAGAAAGCATTCGACAAGATCCAACACCCATCTATGATAAAAACCCTCAGTAAAATGGGTATAGAAGGAAAGTACCTCAACATAATAAAGGCCATATATGATAGACCCACAGCCAACATCATACTCAATGGACAAAAACTGAAAGCCATCCCTCTGAGGACAGGAACAAGACAAGGGTGCCCACTTTCACCACTCCTATTCAACATAGTACTGGAGGTGCTGGCCAGAGCAATTCGGCAGCAAAAAGAAATAAAAGGAATCCAAATAGGTAACGAAGAAGTAAAACTCTCGCTGTTTGCAGACGACATGATCTTATATATAGAAAACTCCAAAGAATCCATAGAAAAGCTATTAGAAATAATCAACAACTACAGCAAAGTAGCAGGGTATAAAATTAACGTGCATAAATCAGTAGCATTTCTATACACTAACAATGAACTAACAGAAAAAGAACTCAAGAACTCAATCCCATTCACAATCGCAACGAAAAGAATAAAATACCTTGGGATAAACTTAACCAAGGAAGTGAAGGACCTATAGAATGAAAACTACAAGACTTTCTTGAAAGAAATTGACGATGACATAAAGAGATGGAAAGACATTCCTTGCACATGGATTGGAAGAATAAACATAATTAAAATGTCCATACTACCTAAAGCAATATACAGATTCAATGCTATCCCAATCAGAATCCCAAGAACATTCTTCACAGAAATTGAACAAACAATCCTAAAATTCATATGGGGCAACAAAAGACCGCGAATTGCTAAAGCAATCCTGAGCAAAAACAAAGCCGGCGGAATCACAATCCCCGATTTCAAAACATACTACAAAGCTACAGTGATCAAAACAGCATGGTACTGGTACAAAAACAGGTCCACAGATCAATGGAACAGAATTGAAAGCCCAGAGATAAAACCACACATCTATGGACAGCTAATCTTCGACAAAGGAGCAGAGGGCCTACAATGGAGAAAAGAAAGTCTCTTCAACAAATGGTGCTGGGAAAACTGGACAGCCACATGCAAAAGACTGAAAATTGACCAGTCTTTTTCACCACACACCAAAATAAACTCAAAATGGATCAAAGACCTAAAGATTAGGCCTGAGACAATAAGTCTTTTGGAAGAGAATATAGGCAGTACACTCTTTGACATCAGTTTCAAAAGAATCTTTTCGGACACTGTAACTCCTCAGTTGAGGGAAACAATAGAAAGAATAAACAAATGGGACTTCATCAGACTAAAGAGCTTCTTCAAGGCAAGGGAAAACAGGACTGAAACAAAAAAACAGCTCACTAATTGGGAAAAAATATTTACAAGCCACTTATCTGACAAAGGGTTAATCTCCATAATATACAAAGAACTCACACTGATTAGCAACAAAAAAACAAACAACCCGATCAAAAAATGGGCAGAGGACATGAACAGACATTTCTCAAAAGAAGACATGAATATGGCCAATAGACACATGAAAAGATGTTCATCATCGCTAATCATCAGGGAAATGCAAATCAAAACTACACTAAGATATCACCTTACACCCGTTAGATTGGCAAAAACATCCAAAACCAAGAGTGACAAATGTTGGAGAGGATGTAGAGAAAAAGGAACCCTCATACACTGTTGGTGGGAATGCAAACTGGTACAGCCACTATGGAAAACAGTATGGAGATTTCTCAAAAAGTTAAAAATAGAAATACCCTATGACCCAGCCATCCCATTACTGGGTATCTATCCTAAGAACCTGATATCAGAAATCTCAAGAGTCCGTTGCACCCCTATGTTCATCGCAGCATTATTTACAATAGCCAAGACGTGGAACCAGCCTACATGCCCAGAAACTGATGACTGGATAAAGAAGATGTGGTATATATACACAATGGAATACTACTCAGCCATAAAAAAAGACAAAATTGGCCCATTCACAACAACGTGGATGGACCTCGAGGGTATTTTGTTAAGCGAAATAAGCCAGTCAGGGAAAGACGAACTCTATATGACTCCACTCATAGGTGGAAGTTAGTATATTGATAAGGAGATCTGATGGGTGGTTACCAGGGAAAAGGGGGGGTGGGGGGAGGGCACAGAGGGGGAAGTGGTGTACCCACAACATGACTAACAAAAATGTACAACTGAAATCTCACAAGGTTGTAATCTATCATAACATTAATAAAAAAATAAAAATAAAAATAAAGGCAAAAAGGAGACTGGATGAAAGCCCCGAAATATTTGAAACAAAAAGTTCTAAATCCACGTGTCAAAGCATCTCTGCTGGTTTTCTGTCTACAGGACCGGACTTCACAGCTACTGCAGAGGAGGCGGGAAGCAGAGAACAAGGCACCCAGGTCAGAATTAGCACGCAGGGCACAGGGACCTACCCGAGAGTCAGCCAAGGAAACTGAGGCACGGAAGATTAAGAAACCTGCCCACAGTCACTTTGCTGTGACCAAGACCACAACTCAGATCCCTGGACTCACAGCCCAGGGCCCTTGACCAGGGAAGAGCTTAAAAATCCAATCAACTGCAAACATTATTTTAAAAATTTTAAGTTGTTTCCACGTTTTTCATTTTCATTCTCCATCGGTTTTGCACAACTTTTAGTGACGTTTTGGGCATCAATGACTGAAATTTAGCATGGGTTGTTTTCCCCTTAGGAACAAAATATTTCAGAAAAGGAGACAGTAAATTTTAGAATAAGACACAAAATAGGGATAAGGAGTGTTTATAAGAAATTCCTTTGTCAATTCTCAAGGAGGAATCTTCAACAGTTTATCATCAAAGTTTAAAATCAGGTTAAATCTTCTATTTTACAGGTTTGTGGGTTTTTTTTAAAAAACTTACCTACAGATCTTGGCAGGAGAAGTTTTCTGTATGAAAATAGAGAGACATCATTAGTCTTTAAAAACTGTTCTTCCCTTAAAAAAATATTTAGATCAAGAGGCAAATAAATTATGAGTAAGTTTATTGGGGGCTTAGCTTGCTGCACTTGAGTCTTTGCTGCGGCTTTTTCTGCTTGGGCACAATGAAGGGGACTCCGAGGCCCAGGGTTGAGTCACTGCAGCAAAGTCACTTGCCCTTTACCGCTCTCGCCATCAGAATCCTGTTTACTCACAAAAAAACAAGATGATCCCATAACTAGAAGGACCTGCAACTAAGATATACAACTGTGTACAGGGGGATTTGGGGAGATAAAGCAGAAAAAAAAAAAAAACCAAGATGATGCCAGTGCCAGGCCTTCCAATAGCTTACACACCACAAAGAGGGACAGAGAGAAATCGATGTAACCTGTGCAAGAGAAGAAATTAAGCTCCTGTTCAATTTCTATTCCAGGCTGTCTCTTTAAATTTTCCTTCCATTAATCCAGCTGAGCAGCACTATAAAGTCTCTGGTATGATACATAAATTAAGAAACAGACAAAAGGACAAGGGACATTTGACTCCGCCCTCACAGAGAAGAAAAAAGGGCAGATTGAGGAAATCTCAACTTGGCACAGAAAGCCCCCTGAAATGAAGAGATTCTCATGCGCTCTCCCTTTATCGCCTCCCGTTTACTAGCCAGTTTAAGGGAATCGGCCCTTTGCACTCAGGAGGAAAATTCCAGCAGAGAGCAGCACAGCCGGTTCTCTATTTGATCCGGGAAATGGTAGGTAGGATGGCACATTAATTATGAACATTTCAGAAAACGATTATTTTGCCAGTTGAGGATAAACTATAATTTTTTTACTCCAGTTCACATAAAGTGTGACGTATGAACATATTGTTTAAAAGTGAAGCGCTGATGAGAGAAACAGATCGTTTGCTATGAAGACTACCCTACATCTTCATGCATTACTAAATAATCCAGTTCGCATCGTTTTCATAAACAGATTCTGTTTGTGCACAAAGCAGTGACTGGGGTCTTCAGACCCTTTAATCTCTCATCTTTGTGGGTCGTGCCTCAGCAGGGCACAGAGGCAATGCCAACCTCGACCCCACTGCCACCTGGTGGGGACACTCATCCCTTCACTCCAGAAAGGACGACACACACAAAGGTGACTTGGCTTCTAACACCTGGATGATTGCCCCCATCATGGGAAAAATGCGTTACTAAAAGATCCTGAGCTAAATATTACCAACATCTCCACAGTTTGGTGGAAGAGCAGGCATGCACAGGACCGAGACAAAGGGGGTGCCCTGCTCTTCCAGGGAACATGTCTACCCAGCAACTGTTTGGGGGCTTCCGTTACAGGGCAGCAAACCCCCCCACCCTGTGCCTGAAAGAGGTCCCCGCTTCCACAGAGGAGAGAGGCTATTTTATTTTAAACTCCTCTGTCTAAGGGAGCCCCGAACCTGAGATATGGAGAGTAAAAATAAGCAATAAATTCATTACTGAGCTCCACTCCCCCAGGGCTCCGAAAACAACTGAGGAGTTAATGGCAGTGCATTCACCTTTGTAGGCCCCTCCATCCACAGATCGCCCGGTAACAAGTGCTAACGAGGTCTCAGCATTCTGAGGGGCAGCACAACTCCTCAAAAGTCCTATCTCCGAAAGTCACAATAAAGAGCTCCCACCACTCTGGTTTAGCTGAGTTACTCCGAGGGCTCCTCACGCTGTGCTGGGTGCTGTTCTAAGTGCTCCACGTCTGCTGACTCATTCCATTATGGGTTAATTAACAGTCTTGGGTTATACGCTGCAGATAGGGCACTGAGACACTGAGAAATCAGGTAAGTTGCCTAAGATCACAGGGTTTGGGGCCAGGAGGCCTGGCTCCAGAGCCTGACTTTAAAACACTATTCTGCCACAGTGACACCTGCCAGCCCTTTCAGGTCACGAGCTTTCATTTGCCACCTCCTCTGCCTGCCCAGAGTGCTTTCTCCTTGTCCACCTGGAAAATTCGGACCCATCCCATGTGACTGAGTTCAAATCTAGCCCCTGGGGAAGCCCCCTCAACCCTTCCAAGTGGACTTACCCCTTGTCCACCTGCACCCCTTTTCTGGCCCATATGACATTCCACGGGCGTCACAGTTGGATTTACACATTGGCTCCTCCGTTCAACCTGAGTTCTGTGAGGTGGTAAATGCACCCTCTACATCTCTGTAGCTGTGACCCTAGCAAGATGTTCCATATAGTATATACTTAATAAAAGTTGAACGAATGAACAAATGAATGAAGAGCAGTATTCTAATGTTAAACTGTGACAAATACATCTGCAAAGTAGCAAGACTAACTCCATAAGCCACACACTACCTTAGAGTCAAACACTGTGCATGTACGTATGCATGTGTGTGTGTGCACGCGTGTGTGTACTCAAAAAACTAGTTATGGATGTTGACAATGAACTACAGCTCCAGACAGAGATTATTCTCCTAATCTGGGAACAAAGTCATGAGGAGGTCAATTTTACTCTCCAAAACCGATTCTAGTGAAACCTGACACAAAAATGAACAAAAAGCCCTTGTTGTGAGTCACAGGTAAAGTCTGAGAAGTGGTGACAACTGTTGTCCTCACGATATCCCGTCATCCATCAAGGCTCCAGGCTGAACGATCAGAGACAGAAATCACACCAAGAACATCTCACAGCAGTCCTCGTCACAGAGCAGGTCAGTGCTAAACTACCAGAAACCACCCACGAGTCTACAAACGGGGACAGGCCAACACACCGTGTCCCGCGTGGAGTGGAATAAGGACACGAACGGGGATTCCTGACACACTGTTCGATGGAAAAATAGTGCATATTTTATCATTTGTGGGAATACATCTATATATGTGCACAGAAAAAAGTCTGAAAGAATAAATGACTTCCTCTGGGAGTAGGATCAGAGTTATTTCTGGGTTTTTCCCCTCTGCATTTTCTACAACTTATTACATCTCATTACATCCATAAAGGAAAGAAAAGTTTTTTAGAATAACTAGATATGTAACCCACAAAATTATTTCCTAATTTTCCCTGACAAGAAATGGCATTGTTTTTGTGTTAAGTGATGAAAAGGAGGTGAAGATTCAAAATATTTTGGTGTCCACCCAATTCCTTCCAAGGACAGGTCCTCTCAGCCTGGAAGTCTGGCCCCTGGTCTCTGCTTGCTGGAAACATCCTCCAGGTCCCTCCAGCCCCCTGTCCTACACTCACCCTCTCATCCGACTTATTCATCAGGAACAACATCCCCTGGAGATGCCTGGATCTCGCACCTAGGCCAGGTAAATCTTCATTTTAAATTCACAAAAAAGTAAGTATCTCACAAATAAGAAGCCGTTTTGGAATGTGAGTGGCATGAGTCAGTCTCCCAGAACCTACGCAGCTCTTGGCGGGTTTCTGAACCGGAAACCTCAGTGACCAGTTAGTGAACATTCAGCTCAGCACCAGGTCTGGGGCTACAAAAGGAACAGCCCTGTGGGCCCGGCAATGAGACGGCTCAGAGGAAGCAGGCAGAGACACAGGGAGAATCATACTATATTTCCCTGAACCAAAGATGCCACTGATTGTGAAATTCCTCATTATTTTATATACTACTAAGAAAGGGAAAAATATATATATGTGCGTGTATATAAATATATATACAGCATACAGAGAAGTGCTGCCTAGTTGGCAGACCAGCCTCTCTCTAGTTTAAAAGTTCCAAAATTTCGATACGAAACCATGTCAGATGGGCAGATGTCAGAAAAAAGGAACTCCCGAAAGAGGGACCAAATTAAAACCACCCCCAATAATGTTAATAATCATAGCTAACAAGTCCAGAGAACCTACACATGCCAGAAACTGCCGGAAGCACCTAATGCTTGTGCCGCAATGTGTCTTCCCAACAACTCTGGGAGCTGGGAAAGGCTACTATCCCGTTCTCACAGACGGAGGCACAGAAGACGAAGGAACTTGATCCAGCTGCTGTGAGGCAGAGCTGGGGCTGGGAAAAAGGGAACTTCCTCAAAGTGGGCTGATGCTCCCATCACCGACGAGAAGCTCTGCTGTATGTTTCCACGTGGTGCTGGGATTAGCTGCGGGTGGGAAGGCTTCCCCCACCGGGCCCCCATCGCGAGGCCCTGGCCCAGCCCCGGCCCGGAGCTGAGCTCCGTTCGGATCAACGAGCACTCCCACATATGCCTGATGAACTGAAGGGATGTCAAAACTGTGGTGCCTGCAATCAGCAACCACTGTCAGGCAGTCTTGACTAGAAACAGACGGCAGGGAAAGGTTTGAGCCACTAAAACAAAGGTGCATCTTTGAAATTTAAAGCAAGGGAGGTGAAACTAGCATTTTGCATTATCATTTACCTCTTTCCGAAAACACTTCTGGTGCCCACAGATGATGACTTCAGCTACATTATGCAAAGTGAGAAACACAGGAATGGCCTGAAAGAAAACAGAATAAGCACGAAAATATTTTCTTTGATCTCATAATTACATAATTCTTGATTGCTGCTTAAAAATAAAGATCTGGGGGAACTGTTGGCATCCACACGTATAATCCTCCCCAGCAAAAACTCTTCTGCATGGATTAGCACTCTCTGTTGTAGTATTGTTCTTGGTAGGGTGGTCATAGAGGCTCGACGCCTATGAGTATTCTCATCATCGTATGCTTATTAAGCACCTACTGTGTGTCAGGCACTGTGCCAGGTGCAGGGGACACATCCCATGAACAAGGTGGACATGAGATAGGGAGACTGTCCCCATGGAAAGGCGCACCTTACCCAGTGTGGGAAGACTAAGCCTTCCTGTAGGAGGTGAAGTCCAAGACCTAAACGAGAACTGAACGATGAACTCGAGTGAGCCAAACAGAGGGAGGAGGCAGACGGCGCTGCAGGCAGAGGGGAGAGCAAAGCCAGCTCCTCCGGGAACTGGGGAAGTCGGGCATGGTGCAGCACAACGCAGGAGGGAGCAGTTGGGGAGAAGAAGGTGGAGAGGTAATCACAAGCCCCGTCAGGGAATCAGGACCAGACCGAGGGCCACAGGAGCCGCGGGAGAGTTTCAAAGCAGACAGTGACATGAGTTGATCTGTGCATTTAACGGAACTTGGGCTGCGGGCAGAGGACAGGAGGCAGAGATCGTTGCAAAGTCAAGGGGCACGGCAGCCTGAAAACTGGGCCCCCAAAACACAGCCACCTCCTAACCCCTGGGACCTGTGAATGTTACCTTCCACGGCCAAAAGGGGTCTTGGTGAATGTGACTAAGGTGAGAATCCTGAGATGCGGAGTTTATCCTGGATTATCTGAGTCAGCCCGAAACACAAACACAGTATTTATAAGAGAAAGGCAGAGATCTGACACACACAGAGGATGTGACTACAAGCCAAGGAACGCCAGCAGCCACCAGACGCAGGAAGAGGCAAGGAACAGATTCCCCCTCACAGCCTCTGGGGGAGTGCGGCTCAGCCAACACCCCTTGGCTTTGGCCCTGGAATACTGATTTCTGACTTCTGGCATCCAGAACTAGCGGAGAATAAATTCCTGTTGTTTTAAGCCACCCAAATATGTGGTAATTTGTTACAGCAGCCACAGGAAACTAATACAAGGAATGACAAGATGGTGGCCTGAACTTGTCAGTGGCAGTGAAGATGCAGAAAAGTGTCCACATTAACGAAATATTTAGGAGATTGAAGTGAGGCAAGCATTTGAGTAACTGGACTCAACTTTGCACCAAAAGAGAAAACACAGCACGGGATTTTGTTATTGTCTTTGTTGTTGATGATGATGATGATGTTTCCTGGAAAGCAGAAAAAGATCAAGAATACGTGTGGGTTTTGGCATCAGCCTGGGCTGCAGGCCCAGCTCCGCCATCTGCTAGTGGGGCAGGGCGCTCGTCCAAACCTTAGTTTGCTCCTCTTAGTATGGAGAGAACAATACCTACGACCTGGAGCCACTGGGAGGAATGCTGGAAATAACGCAGGTGAAGGACCAAGGCTGTCCATACCGCATACTGACGGGCAGTCCACCCTCAGGGGCCTCCACAGAGCGGCCTCAGCTGGGGCGTTGTTCCAGCTTAGAGGGCCCGCTTACAGATCATACTGCTCGCCTCCTGCCAGATGGACTTATTTTCTTTATCATTTTAGAGGATATATTTTTACCTTGCTTTTAAAACTTTTATAACTTCAAAGCTCTTCCCTATTTTAGTATTGTGTTCTAGCTTGCACTGCTTTATTTCTCTTTGAGTCCTTGCCTGACATTTTTCTTGCCTTCTTAATGTTTTCTACTCTTATTTTACCTTTCATTAAAAGTTCAACTCAAATTATTTTTTCCTTTAAAATCATACTTTTTCTATTTTTCATTTGTCTTTTGTGCTTCTTTTTATTCTTCTTAAAGTTTCATATTGTGAACTATTTTTTATGTGGTTTAAGATTATTAAAGAGATTTTTTTTAACTGACTTTATCCATTAGGCCCATGTTTGGCAGACTTGGGTGCTGGCCTGCTAGTTCTTGGCTTTAGAAAATAGAAAATCTTGGACAGGTTACTCATGTGGCACATGAAAATGAATACAAAAGGACAACCTAGATCTTACTTATTTAAAATGCCTTTGCCTCCTTGACTATAAAATCAGTAAGGAGACCGGATTTAGGACTGACATTATGGACCTCTAGACGCTAACTGTAGACCTCTCAATTGTCTCTATTTTATAAAGCATCTGTGGACAGGTTTCTCAATCTCCCTCGGACCTACTCTGATCAGATTCTGGAAAAGGATCTACCTCTACATATAGACTGATGTTAAAGTGCACTAATAATAGCTACCGACAATGTGTTCAGCACAGTGCTAATTATGTTAATTGCATTCTCTTATTTAAACCTCCTCCCAACAGCTCCCTTAGCGGATGCTATTACCTTGATTTATAGACAAGGAAACTGAAGCATAAAGGATCAGGCAACTTGGTGGAGCACTCATCTAGCTCAGGGGCAGAGCCACAACTCCAACCCAGGCCTGTCTGACTGCAGAGCCCACGCTCCCAGCCTCGATGTTACAATACCCAAACCACATCAGGCCCCCCGGGTAAACTTCCTGGATCTACAATTCTCCAAAGTCCAATATGACTGGGGTGTTCCAAATCCTGCCAGTTCGCTTCCTCCAATATTAAAACTGGAATGAGCTAAAATGGATGAACTCAAAGAAAACCCTATGCCATTTTTAAGAGGGATATGTACCTTTCATTTCTACTTACAAACATTTCAATCCGAATTTCTCAAGCCATTTTCCTACTGAGACCCTCGCAGGCTTTAGAAACAGTAATTCTGTGACTGACTCTATCAGCCTCCGCAGAGATCTATCAAAAACAGTATTAAGGCGGTTTGCAACTTTAATTACTAATTTTCCCTCGGCCTCTAACTCCCAGTCTGCACTATGCGATTAGTTCAGGAGACCTCCTAGGAACTGATGCTTTTAGAAAACTCGCCCTTCATTATCTTTGTGGAGTGAGGTTCAGAAGGACTTACTTTTGTCAAATCAGACAAAAGTTCTGAAAAATGATAATAGCAATAATTATAATAGGTAAGATATAGTGAATGCTCATTGTGCCAGACACTGTTCCAACTGCTTTTACATATTTAATTGTCATAACAGCTCTATGAAGTAGATACTATTAATACCCCCATTATACAGATGAGAAAACGGAGGGGTATAATCTGAGTCTCTTTTATAACCTGCCTCTTAATAATTACATGATCTAGATACTTGCTTACTGCTAAAGAGAACAGAAATATAAGCGTGTTCTTCCACATTGTCAAGACTCCAGAAATGGCCTCAACAACAAAAGGTCCTACCATCTTTCATCAGGAAAAATGGCCCAAGATCAACTGCCATAAAGCCCAAATCATCATTTTTGACACAAAACGCAACTGACCAAATTCAACTACATTGCAGGCCAATTCATTTCGTTACTTAGGAGCACAATTTACAACTAATTTATTCTCAGAGTCTATTAGCTTGAAATTCAACCTTTCTTCCATGTACCATCGAAAATTCTTCTCTGACTGTGAAGAGAAATTCATAACTATTACCTAAAATTTTTCATTATTTCCATGCTTCCCACAGTGGAATTTTGAGGCCTTGCTTGTTATTTGTTCAGGTGTTGGAACCGGTTCAAAACAGTTTTCTTAGGAAAATTCTGGCCCTGCCCACAGGCACGGCCTTGGGTCACTCCACAGGGTTGTGGACAACTCCCTTCTTCAAGCAGGTCCTGGGTCAGCTTCTTAATTTTTGTAAAAGAATCTCAATCCTACCTTCTCTCTGGGTGATTTTCAACTATATGGGTGTGACCTTAATCTACAGTATAGAATGACTCCACTGCGGGCCCTTGCCAAAGAACGTAACTTTCACCGTTGGCGGCCTAATTTTTATCAAAATGGTGCATGCCAGAAATAATGTTCCTAGACAACTGCCTAAGGGCAGTCTGCCCACTGTGGAGGGAGCCACAGAACCAGGGAGCAGTGGTGTTAGCCCCAGAAGACCACTCCCACTGACCTGTGCTATGTCATCGTGCCTCCAAGATGCACTAAGAACCCTTGGGGCTGGCCCAGTGGCATAGCGGTTAAGTTCCTGTGCTCCACTTTGGTAGACCATGGTTCTTGGGTTCAGATCCTGGGTACAGACCTACACATTGCTCATCAAGCCATGCTGTGGCAGTGTCTCACATACAAATTAGAAGACGATGGGCACAGATGTTAGCTCAGCGACAATCTTCCTCACCAAAAAAAAGCACTAAGAATTCTAGAAATTGGGTTACTATTATGTTTGTTATAAGGACATTACTGAAGACTCTTTCCACTGAAGGGTCCTGTCGACCCTCTACGAGACCTTAGGACCTGAGAGCAATGAAGAGCTTTGCTTTTCTTCGGCAACAACCCTGCTCTCATCTTACAAGCACTCAGAGTCTTCTAACATTTTTATTGGCTACAGAAAGCTGAGAGCCAAAGTCAAGGCCCAACTGTACATTTTTGGTAAGATATTACAGCATAAATTTCTATGTGCTAAGTTTCTCTGTGACCTTATTGAGTTCTTCTACTATTACCCTTTACCTACATTTCTTTTAAAATTCTATTCATAGGAAGTGTTTCTCTTATTTTAATCATAATTATCCTCTTTTTTTTTTGTTTTTTGAGGAAGATCAGTCCTGAGTTAACATCTGCTGCCAATCCTCCTCTTTTTGCTGAGGAAGACTGGCCCTGAGCTAACATCCGTGCCCATCTTCCTTTACTTTATATGTGGGACGCCTGCCACAGCATGGCTTGATGAGCAGTACCATGTCCGTACCTGGGATCCGAACCGGCAGACCCCGCGCCGCCAAAGCGGAACAAGCGAACTTAACCGCTGTGCCACTGGGCCAGCCCCTCATAATTATCCTCTTAAGCCACCACACAACCTTTTTG